AGCGGCTAAGTCGGGGAAACGGGGAAGCTAACGACAGAAGCCCGGCGGAGCTGAGGCTGTAATTTTCCCAGCTGTGTGGCCCGCACTGAATGCTCCTGGGGTTTAACAAGCGGCAGAGCGATGAAACTCTGACTGAGGAGCACGGCCTGGGGTCTTCGGGGAGGCAGGGAGGGTTGGGTGGGTAGAGCTGCAGGGAGATTTCGAGGAGGGGGCTGGGAAGAGAATGAATTCGAGCTGGAGCCACAACAGTGCTAGGAAAAGGGAGGTGATGAAGGATGTGGAGGAACAGGAGGGGGAGAGGGTGGGGGGTGGGAGGGTACAGGAAGGGGGAAAGGTGGGGATTGGGGAGGGAACAGGAGGGGAAGAGGGTGGGGGTGAGGAGGGAACAGGAAGGGGGGAATGTGGGGGGTGGGGAGGGAAAATGACGTGGTGGGGAGGCCGTGAAGTGTGTTTGTTTCCACTTCCTCTGACCCCTCAAGGCTCACAACACTGCACAGATTTGGCTGACGGAGGAGCGTGTCCCAGGCCCTGTCCTAAAGGTCTCTTCTAAACCTCACGGCAGCCCTCTAGGGAGTTATGGGAAGCCGGCTGGAAATGGAAATTATCACACACTGAATGGTTGCAGATTGGAAATCAAACTGCAAGACTCTGCAGACCATACCCTACACCATAGGACTACAGGGCACGGGGTCTCCCGATCCCATTTCCCACGAGAATTCCACCAGGTACCACAAAGCCTCCTCTTACCAGGCTCATCTGCCCACGGGAACCTAGGGCACAGATATCTGTCCCTAGGAGTCCAGAGTATAGGGATCCACCCATGGGAGTCCAGGGCATAGGGATATTTTGGGTCACCTGTGACCACTGAGGATCAATCTGTCCCAGGGCTGCACTTTAAAAAAAATATATATATATATATATATATATATATATATATATATTGCATGAGTGTTTTACCCACATGTATGTATGTGCACCAGGTTCATGCAATGCCAGTAGAGACCAGAAGAGAAAGTATATCACATCCTCTGGAACTGGAATTATCCATGACTGTGACCAGCCACCGGTGCCCAAACCTAGCTCCTCTGCAAATGTCTCGACCAAGTGCATGCCTGAAGCTGGCCTGAAGCAGTCAAGATAAGGCCTGGGAGAGAGAGAGCATGCTTGTCGGTTACTCCACCACCCAAATCCCACACACAGCCCCCACGCCCATCCTGAGACTGGCAAACGGGCCGGATCTCTATTATTGACGGTGGTTTTCTTACACCATTGAGCAGCTCATCCGTTATATAAATCAACATTTTATTGAATGTCTACCAAGTGCTAGCGCTCCGTTAGGATAAACACTGCTAGGTCTAACAGAAAAAGGTAAGCCAGAGGGCGGGGGAGGAGATGAAAGCACGCGCGCGCACACACAAATTAAAAAAATAAAAAAAAAGGTACTCACCAAACCAACCCTTTGGACCTCACCAACATGGCGGCTCCGGGCCGACACAAACATCTTCCATCATGGCGGACATACCCTTCAGGCCCCGCCCTTCTCAAGATGGCGCCCAAGTTCGACCTTCCCATCATGGCGCGCGGCCCCGCCCGCCCCGCCGCGGCTGCCGGCGGGAGCAGTTCCGGGTGCGGTGCGCGCCGGGGGCGGGCGAGGGGGCGGTGTCCTGGCCATGGCCGGCCTGTCGGACCTGGAGTTGCGGCGGGAGCTGCAGGCCCTGGGCTTCCAGCCAGGCCCCATCACCGACACCACTCGGAACGTCTACCGCAACAAGCTGCGCCGCCTGCGGGGCGAGGCCGGGCTGCGCGACGACGAGCGGCTGCGGGAGGAGGCCCGGCCGCGGGGCCCCGAGCGTCAGCGGGAGGAGGCCCGGCTACGCGAGGAAGCGCCGCTGCGCGCTCGGCCCGCCTCGGCCGTCCTGCGGTCGGAGCCCTGGCTGTCCCCGCCACCCCCGAGCGCGGCTTCCGACACCGCAGGGCCTTACGGCAACTTCGGGGCCTCCGCCTCTCCCTGGGCCGCAAGCCGGGGCCTCTCCTACCCGACTCACACCGGGCCCGGGCCGCTGCGGCGCCGCGCCTCGGTCCGGGGCAGCTCCGAGGACGACGAGGATGCGCGGACGCCCGACAGGGTCGCCCCGGGCCGGGCCCGCCATTGGTGGGCCCCGTCGTCGGCCTCCGCGCGGCCGCACTCCGCGCTCCTCGGCGCCGACACGCGCCCCGGCCTGAAGGGCTCGCGCACGGGCTCTGCGGGCGCGGTGCGGGCCCGACCCGAGGCGGGCCGGCGGCTGGAGCGCTGCCTGTCTCGGCTCCTGCTCTGGGCCAGCCTGGGGTTGCTGCTCGTCTTCCTGGCCATCCTCTGGGTGAAGATGGGCAAGCCCTCGGCGCCGCAGGAGGCGGAGGACAACAGTACGTCCCGGGCCGGCGCAGGGGAGGGTCCCGGGCACCGGTGTTCGCCCACCCAGACCACCGAGTCCCCGTCGCGCCTTGTGAGCCACGACCTCCAGGCTTCTCACCTCCAGACCTTCACTCCCTGCCTCCACTTTCTGCTCCTTTCTGTTTCCCCATCTTTCTAGAGTCTCCCTTTCGGCCACTGCTGGGAACAGGCTCTTGCAAGACCTCTGGGGAGAAGGCCACACGCCCACTCTTGACAGACAGCTCACCCCCTGCCCCTCTTTTCTTCCTCCCTTTTGACTTCTTGCTCATTCACACTTGAGAGCCCCCTCTGAAGGTTCCAGACCTTCCCCCTGGCCATCTGGGAATGCCCCTTGAGGTCTCAGCTTTGTAGCAATAAAACTGGACCCACCAGGCCTTCATTTGTCAAAAGGAGTGCCTGTGGCACTGGTGTGGGAGAATTTTTCTTTTTCTTTTTTTTTTTTTTAAGCTTTAACTGGTACCACTGGGGTGCTTATGAGGCTGGCAGCACCCTCAGGCCGTGCAGGAAGAGGGCCTGTGTGAGTCAGGCAACTTAGGAGACATCTCTGCCCACACTCAGTTGTATGACTCCACATCCCTTGAGGGGTGCAGGAGACCGTTCCTCCTGAATGACTAAGGACTGGTGTCTCCCCAGAAGGGATTTTTGCCTGTGACTCTTGGTTGTAACAAAAGAAGAAGAAAAGCACTTCATTTTCATGAAAATCTCCCCCTCTGGTGTAAGGGATTATAGTTAGGGTCCTTCTCACGTACCTTAGACAAGCATGTTACCACTAAACTAGCCTGACCAGCTGACTTTTGAAAACTACTTTGAAACAGGGTCTCCCTAAGTTGTCTAGGCTAACCACAAACCCACTCTAGCTCAGGATGGCTTCAAACCTGTGATCTTGCCTTCCCTTCCCCCAAAGCCGGAATTACAGACCCAAATCACCAGACCCTGATCATGTTGGTACAAATTTAGGTGTAAAATGACAGTTTTCTTTCCGAAGCGTGCTCAAGGTTAACGCTGTTGCCAGCCGTGAGTCAGGCTCACATCTTCCCACAGTTAGGAGTAGCTGAATTACAAGAAAAGCTTAGCCGCTGTCCTAGGTCTTTTGAATGGATGTCTGGGTAGCCACACTGGTGCCCAAGGCTCGCCTCCACTTCTGGAGCCGTTATCCACCCTGGGAATAGTTTCTGGGTCTGTAAGAGGTTAACAGAGGTGAGTGTCAGCGGACCGTAAGGTAGCTTCGGGTGCTGCTCTCTGCTTAAGATGGCTTTAAGATAAGTTTCTAATTCCTAGAGTTCCCTCCAGTGATAGCATTCATTCTTACTTGACATACCGTCCTTGTTTGCAGCTCCTAAGACTTTTGTATGTTATCTTGTTTGAGCCTAACACCCAGAGTTAAGCAACAAAGGGCATTGGTTTTTGTTTTTTTTGTTTGTTAGTTTTTCTTTTGTTGTTTTTGTTTTATGTGTATGGGTGACTTGCCTGCCTATATCTGCACCACGTGCGTGCAGTACCCATGGAGGCCAGAAGAGGGCGATGGAGTGTAGAACGGGAGTTACACGTGGTTGTAAGCCGCCATGTGGATGCTGGGATTCAAACTCAGGCCCCTCCCTGCAAGAGTAGCTGAGCCACCTCTCCAGCCCTCGTTTCTTGAGACAACATCCTCTCTGTACCCCAGGCCGGCCTCAAACATGTGGCAGTCCTCCTGAGTGCTGGGGTTACAGCTGTGTGCATTCCCATTAGGAAGGCCTATGGAATCCCATTTTACAGGAGCAGAAACAGAGGTTAAGTTACCCAGGAGTCTGTGGCCGCTGGTTCACGTGCAGCCTGAAAGAAGCCCCAGCTACCAATGTCCAGCCCCAGCATGGGGGAATCCTTGGGTCTTAGAACCCGCACTGCACATGGGCCACTGCGAGATGGATTTAATGCACCTTTGTGTCGGCCAAGTTCTGCTTCCCCGGGTCTCGAGAGGTCTCTCTGTTGCCCAGTCCTACTTTTAACCTTTCTCTTTCTTTTCTCGGTCCCAGTGAAATTGTTACCGGTGGACTGCGAGAGAAAAACAGATGAGGTAAGTTTGATCCGCCTCCTATTAGCCTCCCTGAGGACTCAAAGCTCCGCCAAGAGACAAACTTGCCCAGATCATGAGAGGATCATTTTCAGGGAGCGCTTCCCAGAACGTACCAGAATCACATCATGTTCTGTGATGTTTGTGTCAGATCCAATTCTGGGAGCACAGTGGTACATGAAATATGGAACGGTGAGCTCCTTGGGTCCGGCCCCGGGCTCCTTACAGAAGCAACCCCATCAGCGGGAAGCCTTCGATCTGCCTCAGTCAGTCCAGGGTGTTGGGGGTGGGTGAGCACCTGTCCAGGCCGCATCTAACCCCAAGAGACCACCCTCCCAGATGTGCCTTGTCTCTGGCGTGCATCGGTCTCTGACAGTGTTCAGACCCTGATCTGACACATCAGCACATCAGCGGCCGGGTTGAAGCACATGGTAAAGGGAATTAGCCCTCTTAGCCGACGTGTTCGATTTGTTTTATGACGCTCTCACGTTCTCCACAAATAATGTTTGGGGACGCTGAGTGGTCCTCGGCCCACGAATCATGTGAGCGGTGTTAATGCACAGCCTAGCAGCCGGTTCTGAGGAAGATATGAGGCAGTAAATTTTCAGGTCATAAATCCTACCAGGAGGAGGCGTGTGCTGCCAGAGGGCATGACTTAGTGCTAATTATTAAGTGTGGGTGCCAGGCCTCTGCAGCCCAGGGGCTAGCCGAGAAGCGGCACCCCTGCATTGACTGTTCCCCTTGTTAGTGAAGGGCAGCCTGCTGCAGACACCGTTTTATTTCCTTGGCTGCCGCTGTGTCCTGTTTGCGGTGTTTTATGACGATCTCTTACTGCTCTCATCCACGAGGCAGTTTTGCTTCCCAGTTGTTCCGCAAAACCAGGCTCATAATAAGTTTAATCTGCTTCCTGTCATAAAACTGGGCTGATGGTCAGACAGTGTGCTCCAGAAACAGGCAGCCAAGAGAGGAACAAACGCAGAAACAAGAAAATAGAACTTTGCACACAGCTCCTCTGATGGTCCTCTGCTTGCCCTTTAGTTAGACAAGGTTCCTAGTTTAGTTCGGAGTCCTGCACAGTCTGTAGAGCTGGTAGACCCCAAGGAAGAGCAAGCTTGTTCCCGGCCTTCCTGTGAGCTCCTCAGACAGATGCCCGGCAGGTCCCTGCTGGACCCCGCAGAGCCAGCAAGCTGCACCCATCAGCTGCCTGGGACCCTGGGCTTTGGGCTCTAGACAGTCTAGATTTGTAACCAACCCTGTGTCTGCAATAGGACAGCAACATCTGGGCCATATCCAGGCCCCCTTGAGCAGCCTTGGCCTTTGTGACAGGTGGGTCCAGGAGCCCGCAAGCAGGGACATACTTTCTACTCCCAGTGAGGTTCTTGCTGAGTTTCCTTAGGGTGGCCTTAGTTCACCCAAAATCCATACACACGTTTAAGTATCAGATAAATGTTCTTAATCTTCTTTGCAGCCAAGGATTCTCGCCCTGTGTTTTTCTTTCTCTGCTTTGGAGAGTGCGGGGACAGGCTGGGAGTGGGTGTGTTGTCTTAATCAGGCCATCTTCCCGTCTGGTACCGTCTGTCCTGTTTCCTCAGGCTGGTCTCAGCCAGTGCAAGTGGTTGATATGTGGGCTTCATGGAGTGCCACTGCAGCCCCTCCTCAGGCAGGCCTCAGACCACAGTCGGTGACACTCTGTGGTCCCCTCCACCCTCTGCAAGCCCTGCTGCTATTCCTTGCTCTTCTCTCAAGAAGTTGGGCCAGAACCATGGGTGGCCATCTCTTTGTTACTCTTACTCTCCACAGAGCCAATCGCTCGGCGCTTCTCTCCCTGCCAGCTGTCTGCAGATGTGTTTCTGTCATATAAAACTAGGAGGCGGGAACTGGGCACGCAGCTTAGTTGGTAGTGTGATTGCCTGGCGGGCATGAGGGCCTGGGCTCTGTTTCCAGCACTGCGTAAAGCAGGCACAGTGGCCCAAGCCTGTAATCCTGGCGCTCAGCGGGTGGAGACAGGAGGGACAGAATTAAAGATCATTCTTAACCGTTTCTTGGCCAGCCTGGTCTACGTAAGGCTGCCTCAAAAACAGAAAGTCCCTAGAGTTAGGGGTGTCCTTGCTGTGCAGGTGAACGTGGCAGCTTAGCTGCAGACAGACAGACTCTTGACCAGTTTTCTCTCTCTGCCTTTCAGTTCTGCCAGGCCAAGCAGAAGGCAGCCTTGCTGGAGCTGTTGCATGAGTTGTACAACTTCCTGGCCATCCAGGCAGGTGAGTAGCCAGTCAGGCAGGCCGAGACGGCCCAGCCGCCACACAGACACATCTGTCAAGCCCTGTGGGACTTCAGTACAGGCCTGGATCTTGCTTCTCAAACTCTTCTCTGGGTCTGGGTCTTCACAAACATGGGTCTCTTGGCAGGTATGAGATTCTGTCCCATCATGCTTTGGGACTTTGTGTTGGTTGGAAGGCCCAGGTCTTGGGAATCCCTTGGGCCTGAGGCAGTGGTCCCAGGTCTAGTCCTTGTTTGTAGGAAAGCCCCAGGTGGTTTGTGGGCAGCCTGAGGTGTTCTGCTCCTCACTAGGGCTGAGAGCTGTCCTCCGTCCGTCTTCAGAGTGGGTCCTGACTTATGCCATCGAGGGCCCTGGCACCTGCTGCCTTCAAGGCGTGAGCTAAAGTCTCACTGCGGCCACAGGGGATGGGAAGCACCACTCCTTTATCCTGTTAGAGGTGTCCTGGCCCCAGGAGGGTAGGAGGTGACTGCCAGGGTCCTGCCCACAAACTGCTTGTGGGCTCCTAGAACTGTGGTGGGAATTTTGGTCTCTTTGAAACACAGAACTATTATGGGAATATGTTTGTGTTTTAATCCCAGGTGGGACATGGGCTGTGTCAGGTCGTCGTCCCTCTGGCGGGGGCATGGTTTTGCCAGTGGAAGATAGTTTTGAATTCTGGGTTCGTTTCAGGGGGTAGATAAATGCTAGGGCCCAGAGAGGCAGGCCAGGCGGTTGCTGTTGGCTGTGGTTTGTTAAGTAGTCATCTGCAAAGAAGAAGAAATTGGCTATCCTGAGGGCAAAGTTCAAACCTGCCCCAAGAAGCTCCACGCTCCCACGCAGCAGGAAGTGGTCTAATGATACTGCTGCTCTTCTCCTCTATCCCTTTCCCTCCTGTCTAGTGTTAGGGGTTTGAGAGGTTGGAAGGAGAGGCTGGAGAAGGGTGGGAGAGGAAAGGACCCACAAAGGAGCAGCTGCAGAGGCCCGTGGGCCACACGCTGCAGGAGGCACAGTGGCCTGGCTGGACTAGTCAGGACAATACTGGGCTAGGACAGGCCGGCCTGGATGTGTGCATGCAGGGAAGGGAGGGCAGGCAGGAGGGAGGGAGCCATGTTAGGAGGTGTGGGTGCCAGGTGATAGGAGCCCACCCCAGCAGCAGGCAGCACTAGGGAGTGACACAGCGCTGAGAGCCAGAAGGCAGCGCCCAGCATCTGAGCCAAGCTGTGTCTTTGAAGCAGAGTCATCTTTAAGCCTTGTTGACAAAGCTCTGGGGTGGAAAGGGGACAGAAGAAACCAGTGAAGAGGCCGTCGAGGTCCAGTGCCAGGCAAGGCTAGTCCAGGTATGGCAGGAGTGCAGAGAAGCTGCCCTGGCCCCGGAGAACACTGAGCCAAAAGCAGAGTTGAGGTAGGAGGATTTGGCTCTGTCGGAGGGCAAGCCGAAAGCTGCCCCTCTCTGCCCAGTGCTCACATGAACACATACCTGGCCAGGCTGAGCCCCAAGGCAGAGCCAATACCTGGTATGTGCCTCATCCTGTGCTGTCCCTCCAGGGCTTGGCAGGAAGTCCTGTGAAGGGGGCCAGCAGCTATGGTAGGCCTTAGGTCTGCTATGGGCTTCTGGAGAGGCTTCTGTCCTTAGCCCAGGCCTGGAAGGCTGGCAGGACAAGCCTCCCAGAGTGCATAAGGAGCGGTCCTGGCCTGTCAGCTTACCCACAGGTGCCTCATCATCCCTGTCCTTCTGATCACCCCTCCCCAGGACCCCTCTAACCATCGCCTGGCTTCTAGGTTCCAGCGTGTGTGAGATCCGAGAGTCTGTGGTAGCCGGCCTCCTGCCTTTCTTTTTCCCAGGCCGTGTGTATTTATAGTGTCCTCCTGGTACCTTGCGCAGCTCTCTGTCTGACCCTTCTAGGGATCAGCCGCAGACAGACGCTGGCAGTGGGCAGCTCCTCTGACATGTAATGCAGACCGCTGCGCTGCTTTGGGTCAGGTTTTAATGATCTGGAATCGATCCAAGCTAAGTGGCTTTTGATCTTGCTGCAGAGTGAAGATGCCCCAGAAGCCCGTGCTGCCGGCCACATGCTCCTGATTAGAGCTGATGACTCGATTCTCACTGTGTTCTTAGGTCATTTCTGAGTAATTTTTCACCTCTTCTCTGTGTTGAGTGTGTCTTTTCCCCTCCTAGGTAATTTTGAGTGTGGCAATCCGGAGAAGCTAAAAAGCAAATGCATCCCTGTTCTGGAGGCTCAGGAGTACATAGCTGTGAGTAGGGCAGGCCGCAGGCTCCCCCTCCCCGGCGTGGCGTGCAGCCTCCTATGGATTGCCGGAGCCCTGCAGGCCTTTTCTCCCCTCCTTTCTTGTGCTTGCTTTCTGCCGTTTGGTTTTCTGTCTTTTACATTTAGTGGAGTGTTGGGCTACTGTGGAGGGGACGGTGCCTCAGAGCTGGCCCTGCTGCGTGTGAGCAGGCATCTGGTCCCACCTGAGGCCCCTCACCAGCTGAACAGCCGTGGAGGCAGCCCCTTCTTCAGGGGACCTCAAGGGTTGTCAGGGCTACCCCTCTCTGTCCACGTGCCTGCTCCCACAGGCAGTGGGGGCACATCCACCCTGCCCCCACCTCCTGTCCCCTGTGGGCTCCTTTTGGGTCCTCGGCTTCCGTTTGCTTCTCCTCGTGGTTCTCTGTGGTAGAATCGTGTAGCTTCGGGGCTGGCAGGGACCTGAAGGGATGTGTAGTTGAGTTTCATATCCCTTCAGATGAGGAAACCAAGCTCTGGGGCCTCTGCAGCCGCACAGCCGGGGCTGTGCCCGAGGCCGGCTGCCGCCTCAGACCTGCATTGCTGTGCTGCTGTGCTTCACTTGGTCCTCCTAGCTGTCCTCACCCCAGCTGCCCTCCTGCCTGTTTGCTGTGTGTGGGGTGTGTGGGAGACACGGAAGAAGGCTTTCAGGACTCAGTGATGTCCTGGCAGCGGCCCCCCCGGGCAGAGCTCACTCCCATCTTCCGCCCCACAGAATGTGACCAGCAGTCCCTCTGCGAAGTTTAAGGCCGCGCTGACCTGGATCCTCAGCAGCAACAAGGACGTGGGCATCTGGTGAGTGCGACCCTGTCCCAGGAGGCTGGGCTGCCAGGGTCCTCACCCTTGTACTGCTGACTCCTCACCGACAGCAGGGGTGGGTGCAGAATGAAGAGCAGCACTGCCTAGTCCGGGGCGGGGGAGGGGGGTTGGTGTCTGAGCCTGCTGCCCGAGGCCTGCTAACTCCTGCTCATGTCCTGTCTGGGACAGAGATGTCCTGTGCCCTTCCCTGGGCTGCAGCCTGTCCTGTGTAGATGGAGCCCTCCTGTCATGGGCTTCATTCAGTCTGGAGCGGACTCGGGAAATGCTGGGTTCTCTTTTGACCTGGCAGTTCCCTGAGTTTCCATTGCTGGCAAACCCTGCTAGCACAAATAGC